TAAAGGAGGGGCAAAACCTTGCATGGAGATAGGTGGAGCCTAGGGGTGAGGAAGGGCAGGAATAGGTGGAGCCTAGGTGGGGAAGGGCGGGGATAGATGGGGCTTGGGACAGGGAAGAGCAGGGATAGGTGGAACCTGGGATGAGACAGGTGGGGATAGGTGGAGCCTGGGGCGGGAAGGCGGGGATAGGCGGAGCCTGGGACAGGGAAGGGCGGGGATAGGTGGAGCCTGGGATGGGGAAGGGCGGGGATAGGTGGAGCCTGGGATGGGAAAGGCGGGGAGAGGTGGAGCCTGGGACGGGGAAGGGCGGGGATAGGTGGAGCCTGGGATGGGAAGGGCGGGGATAGCAGGAGTAGCATCCACTTTCTAAACAACATGCCTCTGGAAACTCTATGAACTTTGATAAATGTTGATAGCTAGAGACAGGCTTCAGGCCTCTTGTTCATAGGGTCACTCGACTCAAAAGCAATCAACAATAACATCAACAACAGGAGGGACAGGGCACAGGAAGGGGGCACAGCAACAGGCCGAGGAAGGGCGGGACAAGGGTGGGGAGGGTTAGTTCAAGAGTCCAACACTTATGTGTAGATGGACAAGCCTTGAGAGGTGTAAGGGCAGAGCCAGCTCAGAAGATGTGGTCACTGCGGGGAAGGGCAGCGCAGGAAAGAGTAGCCCTGGAGGCTGAGGACACCCCAGCCTGGGCTCTGTGGGCAGTGGGGGTGGGAGAGGGGCTATGGGCCACTGCTGGGGGAGGAGAGGTGGGCGTGAGCGGATGGGACCGGACAAAGGAGGGGCCAGATGAGAATCCCATCCTGGGGACCTTGGGGCTGCACGGCATTGGCGAAAAAGGAAGGCTCTGGGAATTGAAGGGACGGACGCAGCCCTGGACGTGCTCACCAAGAAATGTAGAAGACAGATCCTCGACCAGCGGGCTGGGCGAGATTCGTGTGTGTGGATTTTACAAGGAATTCCAACAGAATGTAGACATTATTAACCAATATTGTTAGTATCAAACACAAGAAAGATCTCACTGCAGATTACTCAGAAATGGTTGGAGCCACAAATGAGCTGAGATTTAGCAGAAATTGCAGCTGGACGCAGCAGAGAGCCTGGAACGAGGGGCATCGTTGCGGATGTCAGGTGGATCCTGGCTGAGAGTAGAGGGTACCAGAATGTTTACTAGTGCGTTATCAACTATGCAAAGGCGTTTGTGTGGATCCTAACAAACTATGACTAACATCGATTTGGAATCTCAGAACACTTAATCGTCCTCATGAGAAGCCTGTATGTGGACAAGAAGCAATAGTCCGAACAGAAAAAGGGGACACTGTATGGTGTAAAATCAGGCAAGTTATATTCCAGGGTCATATCTTTCCTCAAAAGGACTGTATACCTATGCAATCTGTATGGTGAGCAAATAATTTGAGAAGCTGGACTCTATGAGGAGGAGTGTGGCATTGCTATTTTGGAGGGAGACTCATCAAACACCTGCTTTATCCTACAACCAGGAGAAGATAAAATAGATGAATGGAACCTTCTAAGAATCAAATCCCTATGCACATCCCAAAACTTCTCCTACAGGGTAAAAAGGGAAGCCACAGACTAGGAAAAAGTATTTGGTAATGACATATCAGATAAGGGACTTATATCCAGAACTTATAAAATACTTGAGCACCACAACAAGATAAAGGTAAACAATCCAATAGAAAAATGGGCACAGGATATGAACAGATTCTTCACCAAAGAAGACATTCAGATGGCTCACAAGCACAAGAAAAAATGTTTAAAATCCCTAGCTCTAAGAGAGATGCAAATCAAAACAACTATGTGACATCATCTCACCCCTGTCAGAATTGTTGTTATGTGCCATCGAGTTGCTTGCGACTCATAGCGACCCTATGTACAACAGCCCTAAACTCTGCTCTGTCTTGTGCCAATCGCACTGTCTCTGACACTCCCATCCCGATTACCCCAGTCACTGAGTCAATCCACCTCATAGAGGGTCTTCCCCTCCTGCGCTGTCCCTCCACCCTACCTAGCATGATGTCCCTCTCCAAGGACCCGTCCCTCCTGGCAACATGTTCAAAGTATGTCAGACGAGGCCCCAGAATCCTTGCCTCCAAGGAGTAGCCTCGTTTAACCCTCTCCAGGATGAATCTGTTTGTTTTCTTGGCAGTCCAGGGTACATTCAATACTCTTCTCCAGCACCATAGCTCAAAGGTGTCAATTCTTCTTCCATTCTCCCTAGTCATTGTCCAACTCTCTGATGCATAACAAGTGATTGCAAAGACCATGGCCTGTATCAGACGCACCTTGGTCTCCAGAGAGACACCATTGCTCTTCAGTACTTTGGAGAGGTCCCTAACAGCAGACTTTCCCATCGCAATACGTCTTCTAATTTCCTGGCTACTGGTGCTGAGAGTGTTGACTGTGGAGCCAAGCAAACTAAAGCTGTGAACAATCTCAATCTCTTCACCATCCATCCTGATCCTTCCAATTGGCCCAGCGGTGAGAATCTTTGTCTTCTTGACATTGACCCTCAATCCATATTGGAGGCTGCAGTCCTTGCCCCTCTGCAGCCGGTGCTTCAGGTCCTCCTCAGTTTCAGCAAGCAGGGTTGTGTCATCTGCATAACGCAGATTATTGATAGATCTTCCACCAATCTTGACCCCACATTTTCCTCATAGAGCCCAGCATTCCGGATGATCTATAGCAAAATTTAACAGAATAGCAAGCAACAAATGCTGGCGAGGTTGTGGAGAAACTGGAACCCTTATTCACTGTTGGTGGGAGTGTAAAATGGTAATGGTTCAACCACTGTGGAAGGAGGTATGGCACTTTCTCAAAAAGTTGCAAATAGAGATACCATTTGACCCAGCAATTCCACTACTGGGAATATACCCCAAAGAGACCATAACTGACACTCAAGCAGATACATGCACACCCATGTTTACTGCGGCTTTGTTCACAATAGCAAGGAGTTGGAAACAACCTAAGTGCCCATCAACAAATGAATGGATAGAGAAGTTGTGGTATATTCACACAATGGAATACTATGCTGCACTGAAAAACAAGGAACTCATTCAATATTATTCAAAATGGGTGACCCCGGAGGACATTATGCTGAGTGAAGTATCTCAGTCACAAAAAGACAAATACTGCATGGTGCCACTGTTGTAAAACAGGACTGATCTCGGGGATGGGGCAGACTGAGAAAGATGTGTTCAATAATGTATACTTCATTGAAACATATGAGGGAGAAAACTGTTTAAAAGGGATATGTTATTAGATATTTTTGTCATGACAGGAGTCCAGAGTGAAGGCTGCATAGTGGTGTGGACCTGGGGGAGGGATTGTAAAACAATGAAAGAATTTTTCTTTTACTTTTCCAAGAGGGTAGTGTATTCGGGGGGAGGGTTAGGAGGGGAGAAAAGTGCAACAATGAATGAATGGAAATCCAAAGTCTGTGTAAATATTCATTGAAATTAATAATAAGTTTGGGAGAAAACCCTGCTTTATGCAGATGACACAACCTTGTGTGCTCAAAGTGAGGAGGACTTGAAGCGCTTACTGAAGAAGATCAAAGACTGCAGCCTCCAAAGTGGATTACATTTCAACATCAAGAAAACAAAAGTCCTCACCACTGGACCAAAAGGTAACATCATAGGCGGAGAAAAGACTGAACAAGTGTCCCTGATTTCATCTTCCTTGGACCCACAGTCACCCAGGAGAACAGCAGGCAGGGAATCAGGCAGCAAGTGTGATTCGCAAACAGCAAGGCCACTCTGATTCCACACACTCAGAATTCCTGGGACCTTTGCTGGGGTTTAGGGGGCAGAGGGGAAAGGCGAGGGGTGGGGGATACCTTGGGATCTGGAATGTCCCTGACACCCCATCTGCCCCTCTGGTGTCTGCAGCCCTTAAATGAGCTATTTGTCCTCTTGACGACACGGCGTCACAGATTTCTGGAAGCCCAGAGGGTCCCTGTCCCCTCAGATGGCGACACACCTCCCTCAAGCCTTGTCCTGACCCCAGGCTGTTCACACAGCCACCTTTCATGTAGCAAACCCCACAGAGCACGTTTCTTGGGGCCAGGGACCCTCGACTCACCTGGTCCCTCCCCAGAGCTCCACCCTCGGCCTGTGTCCACTCCAGCGTGGGCATGGTGAGGGGAAGGTGGACACTGGGGGGAGCTGGGCATTCCCTGCTGCACTCCAGGGGCTGGGTCGCGCACATGTTGCTTCCTCAAGGTGAACACGTCACGTGACCACTACCCAGCTGTCAACATCTGCCTGTCCCCCACTCACTGTCTCTCTGGGCCCTGGGACACAGCCTCATGGTCGCGCACAGGTCCCCTCATCCTGTCTAGTTGCAGAAAGGTAGATATTGCTCTTGAGGGCCTCAGAGCCCTCCCCACCTCCTCACCTGCCCACAGGTAAAGTATGGCAGGGGAGGCTCCCTGGAGGAGGTGGCGTGCCCAGCCCTGGAGCCAAGGAGGCAGGGACTTGCAGTCCATGTGAGATCTTGCACAGAGACATGACCCAGAGAGATCTGCCCACTTGCCTGCACATGGGTAACGTCTGTGCTCGGCCGAGGGCCAGAGCCAGACATGGCTGGGGAGGTGGGCCTGGCCCTGGTGTCACGGCCCAGCTGCTCTAACCTCCAGAACCCACCAGTGACCTGGGTGCACAAAATCTCCAGCACCTGGCCAGGGGTCTGGCTGTACACACCTCCAGTGCCCTGCCAGGGACCTGGCTGCACAAACTTCCAGCACCCGGCTAGAGACCCACCATACACATCCCCAGTGCCCTGCCAGGGGCCTGGTCGAACACATCTCCAGCCCCCACCCAGGAACCTGCATTCTCACCTCCGGCACCTGGCCAGGACCTCAACGTCTACAACTCCAGCGCCTAGCAGCACTCACTTCTAGTACTTGACCAGAGGCCTGGTTGTTCTCACCTCCAGCACCTCCAGCACCTCCAGCGCCCAGCAGCACTCACCTCCAGCACCCGGCCGGTGATGAACTTCTCGCAGCCATCACACCGGATGCCGAACTTGGCGTGGTAGTCAGCCTCGCAGTAGGGCAGCCCGTCCCTAAGTGGAGAGAGGGGTCAGAAGGACCGAGGACAGACCTCGTGACAAGGAGGGGACCACAGGTAAGCAGGAGGGCCAGCGAGCCCAGCTTCCTGCTCAGCTAACAAAGCCTCTGAGGTCAGCGTTGTGACTCCCACCCTGCCATACGCAGGACCCGGTCCTGGTCTGCCCAAGGTCAGGTGTGACCCATCGGGTCTCATCAGTGGAACTAGACCACCAGCCCTTTCTTCCGAGTCTCTCAGCCCAGAAGCTCCACAGACACGGAGACATGCCGGCTTTCACTGAGAGGAGGGGTGCTGCGTGGGGTGCATGGGAGGGATCTGAACCCGGGTCCCACAACAGTGATGGGCAGAATTCTGCCCGGGGCCACACTGCCCACACCCCCCCAACACACACTCAGTCCTATCACATCAATCCACCTCGCAGTGACCCTGTATGACGGAGCAAAACAGCCCTGTGAGGTCTCCAAGACGGGCCCCATCGCTCTGTCACAGAGAGGCTGACGGGTTCCAGAGACCCTTCAGTTATCCAACCAGGGACAATCCACTGTGTCGTCACCGGGGCCCCCACACCCTGCTCACTGGGGCCACCTGCCCTCCCTGTGTCACCACGGCCCCCAAACCTTGCTCACGGGGGCCTTATGACCTTATCCATCATCATGACTGCTTTGTGGGAAGTGGTCACTCATGGCACAGATGGGGAAACTGAGGCACACACATGCCCAGCAGGTGAGCAGATGGACTGGTGCAGCCAATCCCTGACATGACTGTTACCCTGACTCCCAGTCCAGCACTCTGCATTTGAGGAGAGATCTATCTCTCCAGGTGGACACCCACATCCTCCCAAAGGGACCCCAGGCCCTTAGAGAGATGAGGGCACAGAGGGTGTGGGGAGAGGGGCCGCCTGGGGGGGCTGCGGCACACAAGGCTCACAAGGGGGGTGCAGAGGCAGGGACAGACCGACTCCTTGCCCAGCCTGGCTTTCCACGCTCCGGAACACGAGGGTGATGACCACACTGTCCCCGGGGAGGCGCCAGTGTCCTTCACGCATGGCCACCGCCTGGACGTGTCTTCCTGGAGGCTGGCGTGTGGCTGTGACGTGGAACGGGCTCAAGTAGAGCTTCCACATTAAGAGGAACAAGGAAGAATGGCCTGGCCACCTCCGGCTAAACATCGTGTATCTGCAGTGTAACTGTTCATACCAGTGTCGTGGTCAACACAGAAAGCCTGATCAAGGCTCTCCCCTGACTTTGACCTTCAATCAACATCCAAGACCAGCAGTCAAGGGAGCAGTGATACATTGTATGTAATTCGCTGTCAAAGGCCTGAAAAAGTGCCAAAGAGCAAAGGCAGAAGCTTAAAGACTAAGGTGTGCCTGCCCGGGTCATGGTATCTTCACTCCCTTCACCTGCACGTAAGGGGCTCTGTTGGCACAGTATATAGCACGTTGTGATACCACCAAAAAGGTCAGAGGTTCGAATCCATCAGCTGCTCCTCAGGAGAAAGATGGGCCATCACTTCCCATCAAGATTTGCAGGCTCAGAAACCAGACAGAGGGGTGCTCTGCACTGGGATTGACCCAGGGAAGTGAGTTTGTGTTTTATGAGAGGTGGAGGCGGGGGCACCATATACATCTGGAGGCTGGACAATGAATCAGCAAGATGGGAGAGTTGATGCCTAATTGTGGTGGTGGTCGTGGTGGTGTTGTTGTTGGGTGCCATCAATCAAGCTGGACTCACAGTGACCCTGTGAACTAAGCCTGAATCCTGTCGTGTCCCAGCCTCACAATCTCTCACACCCTCAAGTCCATTGGGGCAGTCACTGTGTCAGTTCATCTGTTTCAGGGTCTTCCTCTCCTTTGTCAACCCTCCACCTCTCTAAGCACGATGTCCCTCTCCAAGGAGCAGCCTCTCCCAGCAACAGGCCCAAAGTATGTGAGATGAAGCTTTATCAGCTTTGCCTCTAGGGAGCACTCTGGCTGCACTTTCTCTAAGGCACATCTGTTTGTCCTTTTGGCCGTCCATGGATGTTCAGTGCTTGCAATGATTAAGGATGGCCGGGGAATGGATGCCTCTGAGCTGTGGTCACTGGAGCCGACGAAGAACACAGAACACACCACGGGCTGCCGGAAGGACGAGCAAACCTGGACCCAGCAAAGCGCAGCCAGGCCTGGGGGGACTGTGTCTCACGTACTTTGGGCGTGCCCCTGGAGAAGGATGTCGTGCTTGGAGAGCAGAGGGTCAGTGGAGGCGAGGAAGACCCTCAAGGACATGGGTTGACACAGTGACCACAGCACGGACTTGAGCAGGACAGACCACAAGGACAGCGCAGAACCGGGCGAGACTCCCCCCGATGCACGTAGGCTGCTGAGTCCGAGCCAGCTCCCAGGGCTGCCGACAGGACGAAGCCCTGAGAGCTGGCACCCTGATTCAGCCCAGCCCCCAATGCTGTGAGTCGTTCAAAGCCTGTCTCATCAAGTCGCCCACGTGGGGCTCCTTTTCTGGGAGCCCCTGGAGACCTGGACTGAAACACCATGTCCTGGCAGCTGTGAGGTCTCTCAACGCCCCATCTGTGAGACGGGTCACAGATCAGCCACACCCCCCGCAGGGCTGCTGCAAGGATCACACGTACGGAGCTGTGGTCAGGGCCAGCACACAGCCAGCACTGGACAAGGGAAGGGAGAGGTCATCAGTCTGCGGGGCCCAGCAGCCCCTTAGCTACCAGCCAGTGGGGGCTGGGTTGTGAGGCTGAACGTCTGAGGCGTGAACCTACCAGTCCAGCATGGCCCCCAAGTCCACCCGCAGCAAGGACAAGGAGGGGACACACAGTGTCAGGGTAACCACTGCCCCCACAGTCTGAACAAGGAAGGATCACACACTGTGGGGTGACCTGTGGAACAAGCACGTCTCTGTTGTTGATGTTTTCTGCCTGCCCACAGGCTGGACATGGAGGGATCACACAGTGTGTGGGTGATGTCCACCTTGTCCACCCAGCCTAAGCAAGGAGGGACCTCTGTCCCCTCCACAACCCGGACAAGGAGGGGCCATACAGTGGTAGGGTGACCACCCCCTTACTGCTGATGTGGATTCTGTCTACCATCCCCCTGGACAAGGAGGGACCACATGGTGTTGGAGTGACCGCACGGTGTAGAGGTGACCGCACGGTGTTGGAGTGACTGCACGGTGTAGGGGTGACTGCACGGTGTTGGAGTGACCGCACGGTGTAGGGGTGACCGCACAGTGTAGGGGTGACCGCACGGTGTAGGGGTGACAGCATGGTGTAGGCGTGACCGCAGGAAGTAGGGGTGACCACACGGTGTTGGGGTGACCGCACGGTGTAGGGGTGACCGCACGGTGTAGGGGTGACCACACGGTGTTGGAGTGACTGCACGGTGTAGGGGTGACCGCACGGTGTTGGGGTGACCGCACGGTGTGGGCATGACCGCATGGTGTGGGCGTGACCGCACAGTGTTGGGGTGACCGCACGGTGTTGGAGTGACCCCACGGTGTTGGAGTGACCGCACGGTGTAGGGGTGACCACACAGTGTTGGGGTGACCGCCCCTTACTTGCTGATGTACTCCGCACTCAGGAGCTTCCCGCAGGTCTTGCACTTGAAGCAGCCCAGGTGCCAGTGAGCATCGAGAGCCAGCAGGGACTGGCCATTCCGGATCTCGGCGCCACAGCCCCCACAGTCTGGAAGAGAGAGGACACACTCAGTGGCCAGTAAGGACAGTGGCTGCAGCACTGCCACCAAGGGACAGAGTAGAGCAGATGCAGATGCCCTGGAGTCGAGGTCCTCATGCTGGGAAATGGGGACAGGGCACTTGCTCCCTGACAATAGTCAAAAGAGCCTGGGGAGGGGTCCTGGGGAAGGGACCTGGGGAAGGGGCCTGGGTCAGAGGGTCTGGGGAGGGGGCCTGGGGAGAGGGCCTGGGGAGTGGGCCTGGGGAGGAGACTTGGAGAAGAGTTCTGGAGAAGGGGGCCTGGGGAAGGAGTTTAGGGAGGGGGCCTGGGCAGGGAGCCTGAGGAAGGGGCCTGGGAAGAGGGCCTGTGGAGGGGACCTGAGGAGGGGACCTGGGGAAGGGGCTTGGAGAATGGCCCTGGAGGGGGGCCTGAAGAGGGGGCCTGGGAAGGGAGCCTGGAGGAGGGGCTCTGGAGAGGGGGGTCTGGTGGGGGCAACTGGGGAAGGGTCCTGGAGGCTGGCAGCGAATCACAGGAGATAAGAGGGGCCCTGGAGCCAAGGGATGTGCAGTCCACTCGCATGGACTTTCCCCGCCTACCAGCACTCCCTGAACACCACTGCATGCAATTTTGGACTGGCGCAGGGCTGCATCTGCAGGAGGAGGGTCCCACCCCAGAAGGAGACAACTATGGAGTCCCCAGGGGTCCACACACCCCCTGCTCTGCAGGTAGAACTTTGAACCTCACTGTGCCCACATGCCAGCAGAGAGCTGTGTGCCCAGGACAGAATACTGGCACTGCTCATCTGCCCGAGGTGCTCCCCAACACCCTCTGTCCACCTACCTGGGGTGCTCCCCAAGGCCCTCAGCCCACCCGTCTGGGCCCCATGTGCAGCTGTCTATGTGGCGCCCACCCACTGGACACTGGACATACAGCCCAGTCCCTGCAGCACACCTGCCGGTCCCAGGGGCACTCAGTGATCACCCAGTCCTTCCCAACTCTCCAGAAGTGGCCGCTCTCTGCTCTCCACTAGTCAGGCCCCGCATCCACCACAGCCTGGTCAGATGAGCAGACGGGCAGCGTTGGCCTCCCAGGGCACCAGACCAGTGGGCTGCTGGGCTCATCCACAGCTCCTGCCAGAGAGGACCACAGGGACCCTCGGCGAGGATAGGGTCAGCGGTGGGAGGAGGTGGGAGAGGAGGTGGCCCAGGACCACACTCCTCTGGAGGCTGAGTCAGGTCACAGCAGCATGGTCAGAGGTGTGAGGTCCACCCCAGCTGCCCTTCTCACAGCCGTGGCCATCCCGTGTCTGTAACTGGTATGAGGGGATGGCACCCTTCCCTGTTCTGTAAACTGGGGTGGGGGCACCACGAACAGAGAACAAAGAAGAGACTGGACTGAGATGCCCTGGTGAGAATGTCAGCTGGTGAGGAGCATGTCACCATGGAAACAGTTGGCACAAGTATCCTCTGTGCACCTTGAGCTCAGGGGGTCAGTGTGGATATCTGACAAGTACATGGTTAGCGTGGGGGGTCCCTGAGATGTTGTGACAGGTTGGGCAGGTATAGTCTCCCCGAGGCCTGGAGGGAGGTCGCCGCACAGGGCTTCCTCTCCAGGCCACAGCCCACCCTGGCTCCCAGGCCCCGTCACCTGTGTCCTGTCACGTGTGGGCAGCACTGCCTCAGCATACAGAGGGCACTGTCCTGTCTGCATGGATGGTCCACATCTACACACCCACACAAGCCGTGGACACCACCTGCCTCTGTTCAAGTTCTCATGTGGTGTGACCACACACCCTGGTCACTGGCGTCAGTGGATGGAGCCACAGAGAACTGGCCTGGGCACCTCAGCTCACACAGGGTTCCTCTCTGCCCCAGTCAGGTCAAGGCCCCGCCTCTGCCACCTCCAGGCACTGACTCCTGCCCACTGTGCCAGGTGCATCGGGAAGGGATTCACCAGGACACTGAGCTCAGCACATGCAGGGCCTCTAGGAGGACTGTCCTGGTCAGCTCCGGCCAGCAGTTAGGTTCAGACTGACCAACTCGACGAGGAGCTGTGTGTGTGCACACAGGTGGCTGTGCTTCTGGGATGGAGACCCTGCCAAGGTTGGGGGCCAGACAGAAAGGGTGTAGGAGGCCCAGGCTTGAAGAGAGGCCATGGAGGGCGGTCCTCCCAGGAGGCCAAGGGCAACTGAACTTGGAGGAGTTCTCTTGTTCCTAAGCAACTGGCCCAGTGACACTAGGGAGAGAAAGAAGCCAGGCCTCTGAATCCTTCTCCACCCCACAAACGCCCAGGGAAAGCAGCACACACCTTAGTCAGAAGCCGGGCACGGCATTCCACCCACTTCAGTGACCACACTGCTCATGTTCTTCTTCCTAACAGAACTGACCCCACGCTCCCTCAACAGCCATCTATGGCTCCCCATCGCCTCCAGAATGCAGCCAGCAATGCCGGGTGCACCTTTGGAGGAGCTGGAACATCTAATCCCCGTCTGTCTGTGTCCCTGCCCTCAGCAGCCCTCCTGTGTCTCCAGCTGGCCTCTGTGCTGTGCTGTCCCTCCCACAAGCCCTACCTGGACTCTGTGTGTGTGTGTGGTTTCAGATCCCTGAGTCCTGGGGTAGGGTGAAGTCCTGGGTGAGAGTCTCAGCTCCATGCTTATGGGCTGGACGTAGAGTCCAGACCCCCCATGCACCCAGTGGGGGACACTCATGCAGCTGGGGAAGAAGAAAACTCCTGTCCAGGGACTGCTCAGGACAAGGGGAGCAGAGACAGGTCTGCAGACGGCCGTGCAAGACCACAAGCAGGGACTCGGTTCAGCCCTTTCCAGGCACAGGAAGGGCATGTAGGTGTCTGTGGGGGGTAGAAGATGACCAGGAGGGCTTCCTGGAGGAGGAGGCCAGACATAGTTTCCTGCCTGTCAGGGAAATATTTGTTCCCAATACAGCAAGTTTGCCATTTTAAAATGAGGTCACATTGTTGGAACCTGTCTGCTAAGAGCATTTTGCAAAATCTCAGGTAAGCAGTATGTGGTCCTGCCTATTTCTCGTTTTGTTTTGGCTGTCAGGGAGTCTGTGAACAAATCAATAAATGCTGCTCGCCCACATGGTGTTGTTATTGCAGGGCCTGTAGCCAATCTTTCAGATTTCCTTTTAGTGGTACCAACTAGTAGGGGCAGGGGAATGGCCAAAGGGTTCAGGTGCTAAGGGGAAGGCTGGAAGTCTGGGTTCACCCAGTTCCTGGTTCAACTCCTGATTCACGTCTGGGTGATTGGAGCTGTAGTGAACCCCCAGAGCCTGCACCCCGTGGAAGCCGCAGGTTGGGGCTCTTCTCAGGCATCTGTAAAGGGCTTTGGGGTGCCCTGAAGTTATGGGGTGGATGTGCATGAGTGTGTGTGGGTGGAGGCAGGTGAGCACAGAACCAGAACACACAGGGAGCTGGGGACAGAAAAAGGAGCCTTGTGAGACGGAAAGTGAGCAATCCTGCTAAGACCCAGAAGCAGCCCCGTGCCCGCCGTGCTGCCCAGTGTCCACTTACTGCGGAGGCCCTGGGGCAGGTGGGTGCTGCTGCCCAGCGAGGCGGGCAGGGAGCACTTCTGACACAGACATTCCTTGCCGTTGAAGGTCACTCGGTCCCCAGGTGGAAAGGGCAGCCTGCAACAGAGGATGGTGTTGTTGAGACCTCGCCTGGTCCCATCTCTAGAGGGCACCCCACACTGACAGTGATGCCAACACCACTATCCCTTCCAGCAAGGCAGGACAAGAGACCCCTGCCTGGGCAGTGCCCCGTGCCTGCCGGTGACACCGAGCCTCGGTCTCCTCACCTGCACCATGAGCTCCACTGAGCACCTGGCACTTTCTAAGAACAGTGGCTTGGTGACAGTGGTGATTACATGGGCTTGTGACCATGGCTTTGTAGTCATAAGATCCAGTAACCATGGCAGCGCTCTCACTTACTGCACACCTACTGTGTGCTAGCTACTGGAGAGATGTCGTGGCGGCAGGTGTCACTTCACAGGTCTGGGCATTTTTCCAGTTAGTGTCCACTTCCTCTACAGTGAAGACTCCCCACCATAGGACTGAGAAGCAACATCGCGATAGAGAAAAGATTGAAATTGTCAATGATTTCATACTGCTTGGACCCACAAACAACACCCTTGGCCGCAGCAGTCAGGAGATGTATTACATTGGGAAAGTCTGCTGTCAGGGACCTCTCTCCAGAGCACTAAGGAGCAATGATACAAGTTTGAGGACTAAGGTGGGTTTAATTCAGGCTATGGTCTTTTTGATCACTTGCTCTGCATCTGAGAGCTGCATAATCAATAAGAATGACAGAAGAGCTGATGCCTTTGAGCTGTGGCGTTGGAGGAGAGCACTGAACAAACAGTTAAGTCTTGGAGAAAGTACAGCCAGAATGCTCTTTGGACGCAAAGATGATAAAGCTTTGCTTCACGTACTTTGGGCATGTTGCTAGGAGGAGCTATTCCTCAGAGAGGGACATGATGCTCAAAAAGGTAGGGGGTCAACAAAGGAGAGGAAGACCCTCAACCAGCTGGATTGACACGGTGATTGCTGCAATGGGCTCTAATGTGTCAGGAAGTGTGAGGATGGTGCAGGACAGGACGGGGTTCAGATCTGTTGTTCATAGGATCACTAAAGGTCGTACTCTCCTTGATGGCACTTGACAACAATAACAACCCATCCATGCGTCAAAGTCAAGGGGCAACGGCCTACAAACGTCATTTGAACAGAAGACTCACTCCACACTAACCCGTTTCTGGGCTGGTATCTCCATCTGACATCCGGCTTAGCCCACAAGTCACTGCAGTTCACTCCCTCCAGTTTCTGTCTCTGCTTCAGTTGGAGAGCTTTCTGTGTCTCCGTGTTCACTGCTAATTAACTGCAAATTGCTTTTAGAAGAAGCATTGAATTTGTAATCTCTAGAAGTGACAATGACTTGAAGTACATGCTGCAGAAGATCAAAGACTACAGCCTTCTCTATCTGCTACATCTCCGCATAACAAAAATCTTCACCACTGGGCCAGTAGGCACCATCATCATAGAAAGGGAGCAGACAGAAGCTGCCAATGATCGCATTTTACTTGGATCCATAATCAGCACCCACAGAAGCAGTCAGGAAACCAAAAGATGTGTCACTGGGGACATCTGCTGTCAAGGACCTCTCCAAAGTCCTAAAGTGCTAGGATATCAGTTTAAAGACTGAGGTGTACCTGATCCAAGCCATGGCGTTTTCAATCACTTCCTAGGCACCCAAAAGTTGGGCACTGAATAAGGATGGCAGAAGAATCAAAGAATCAAACTTGGTCTCACTTTGGGAACATTTTCAAAAGGAACTAGTCCTTCGAGAGAGACATCATGTTGGGAAAGGTACCGGTGCGGGGTAGGGCAGGGGTCGGGTCTGCTGTTCACAAGACCATTTCTATTAGTCGTAGTCAACTCAATGGCTCCTTACATCCGGTTCATCTTTATATGCTCCGTATCACTCCTACTTAGGTGCTGCTGTTGTTTTTGTTGATTGTCTTTGAGCCAAGCACGACTCATGGCGACCCTATAATCAAAAGTCCTGAAGCCCCTCTACACCCATCGACATTGATCGAAGTTCATAGAGTTTCTGGAGGCATGTTGTTTAGGAAGAGGATGCCACGTAGGCCTCCCTTTACACACTGACACATTTGACAGCTGTTTGAGAAGGACCGTCTCCTAACTTCATCATTGCTGGCATCTCGGGGTCTATTTTTCTAGACTTATTTTTCTTTTTCCTGCGACTAAGCTCTGTGGCTTTAGGGTAAGAAGCTGCACTGCAACACCAAAGGTGTTGTTGTTTTGTTGCTATGTGCCGTCGAGTCATTTGCAACTCATAGCGACCCTACGCACAACAGCCCTAAACCCTGCTCTATCCTGCGCTAACCGCACTGCCTCTGACACACCCATCCCGATTACCCCAGTCACTGAATCGATCCATCTCATAGAGAGTCTTCCCCTCCTGCGCCGTCCCTCCACCCTCCCAAGCATGATGTCCCTCTCCAAGGACTCGTCCCTCCTGGCAACATGTCCAAAGTATGTCAGACGAAGCCCCAGAATCCTTGCCTCCAAGGAGTAGCTTGGTTTAATCCTCTCCAAGATGAATCTGTTTGTTTTCCTGGCAGTCCATGGTACATTCAGTGCCCTTCTCTAGCACCACAGCTCAAAAGCATCCACTCTCCTTCTGTCCTCCCTAGTCATTGTCCAACTCTCTGATGCATAACAAGCGATTGCAAAGACCATGGCCTGTATCAGGCGCACCTTAGTCTCCAGAGAGACACTGTTGCTCCTGAGTACCTTTGAGAGGTCCCTAACAGCAGACTTTCCCATCGTGATACGCTTTTTGATTTCCTGACTGCTGGTGCCCAGAGTGTTGACTGTGGAGCCGAGCAAACTGAAGCTGTGAACACTCTCAATCTCTTCGTCATCCATCCTGACGCTGCCAATTGGTCCAGTGGCGAGAATCTTTGTCTTCTTGACATTGAGCCTCAGTCCATACTGAAGGCTGCAGTCCTTGACCCTTCACAGCAAGTGCATGAGGTCCTCCTCAGTTTCAGCAAGCAGGGTTGTGTCATCTGCATAACGCAGATTGTTAATAGATCTTCCACCAATCCTCATGCCACAATTCTCCTCATAGAGCCCAGGCTCTCAGATAATCTGCTCTGCATACATGTTGAAAAGGTATGGAGACAGGATGCATCCCCGGCATACACCCTTCCCATTTTGAACCATGCAGTGTTACCCTGCTCTGTTCTGACTACTGCCTCTTGGTCCAAGTATAGGTTTCGCATTAGCACAATTAAATGTTCTGGGATTCCCATTCTTCTCAGAGTCAGCCACAGTTTGTTATGATCCACACAGTCAAATGCCTTTGCATAATCAATGAAACACAGATAGACATTCTTCTGGTATTCTCTGCTTTCAGCCAAGATCCACCTAGCATCAGCAACAATATCCCTAGTCCCACGACCCTTTGTAAACCCAGCCTGGACTTCCGGCAATTCTCTGCTGATGTGCAGGTCTAATCCACTACCAGCTGCTCCACAGAATGGGCAATTGCTTCCCATGAAATTAACGCCCTGATCACTGAACCCCACTTTCCCTGATCACTGACGCCCCAGCTCAACAAGTCTCCACCCAGCAGGTCAGAACTTAACCATCCCTCAGCTCTAGCAATTGGTCTGCTGACAGCATTCTGGCCCTTCTTTGCCCCGCTGGGTGAGATTTCCTCTATGTCCACGTGGCCTGGTGTCTGGTCTGAGGCTCCGAGGTCCCCAGCGGCTTGCTGGACCTCCACATCGCCCAGCTGCCCAGCCGCCCAGCCAATCATAGCTCAAGGCTGTCCTACGGCAGGTGCTGTAAGCCGAGTGACCACCAGGGGGCGGCTGCAACAAGCAGACCTATTCTCTCCCAGGCTAGAGGCCATTAGTCCAAATTCAGGGCCAGGTCAAGAGGCGCCCCCGGGTTCTGCCCGGTGGGGAAGGAAAACCTTGGCTTGTTTCCTGCAGCATCTGGAGCCTGGGCGTCCGTGGACACCTCCATGGGCTTGGCCTTCCCTGGTGTCCTCATTCAGGGACATTATTTCCTGGTGACACAGCTGGCCCCCGCAGCCTGCTCAGTGACCTCGCCTTCCCTTTCACCTCTAGAGACAAACACATTATGGGTCACAGGCAGGGGGAAGTCCCCTCACCCAGTGAGGGCTGAGACAGGATTGGGGATTTGGGAATGCCGCCTCACCCCACACATTCCAGGATTCTGTTCATCAGATCACGAGGGATCCGTCCGCAGTGTCCATACACGTGGCCATGGAGGGACACAGCCGGGTCCATGACGGTCCATGTGTGTCAGTGCCGTGTGCTCCACAGGCCTCAGGGTTAACTTCTCAGAAGGAGATCCCCAGGCCTGCCCTCCGAGGGGCCTCGAGGTGGGCTCAGCCACCAGCCTTTCTAGTCGAGCACACTGCCCACTGGCACCAGCCACAGCTGCTGGACCTCTCTGTACCACACTCCTTCCTGGTTCTCAGGCCCACCCTCCCTGACCACAGTCCCCCAGCTCCCTGACCACTGACCCTCACCATCCCTGATCACTGTCTCCTCCCCCACCATCCCTGACTACTGTCCCCCAGCACCCTGACCACTGTCCCCCACCCTCCCTGACCACTGTCCCC